CAGCCTTCTGGTTAGCAGTCAAGTGCCTTAGGCACTACGCTACCTAGAAACTCTATGGGGCAGTTCTGCTTTGTCATATAAAGTCACTATGAATTAGAATGGAAGGAAGGTTGGCCAATCTACTTCTGTAGTGATACTGCCTTGGAAACTCAAGGAGGGGTTGCTATGAGTCGGGTCCAACTTGAGGGCACAAAACAACAACAACAACATGAATTGGAATTGAGCTTCTCCGTTGTCTCTTTCCACAAATAAAGATTTGATTCCTGTGTATTTCCTCTGGTGAGGACCAAGTGATAGCCAGCCACCTTTTACATTGTTGTAAAAAGGTATTCAAGTTCAAGTTGAAGCTGAAGGCAATTAAAACAAGTCCATGAGAGCCAAAATATGACTTTGATTATATACCACCTGAATTTGGAGACCATCTGAAGAATAGGTTTGATGCACTGAACACCAATGACCGAAGACCAGACAAGTTGTGGGATGACATCAAGAATATTATACCTGAAATTCTTTGCAAAAGATTATGTAAAAGACAGGAAAGGAAGAAATGATCAAAATGGATGTTAGAAAAGACTCTGAAACTTGTTCTTGAATGGAGAGTAGCTAAAGTGAATGGAAGAAATGCTGAAATAAAAGAGATGAACAGGAGATTTCAAAGGGCAACTTGAGAAGACAGTAAAATATTATAAAGAAATTTGCAAAGACCTGGAGTTAGAAAAACAGAAGAACATGCTCACATTTCTCAAGCTGAAAGTCCTGAAAAAAACATTCAGGCCTCAAGTTGCAATATTGAAGGATTCTATGGGCAAAATGCAGAAAGCATGAAAAGAAGATGGAAGAAATATGGAATCACTGTACCAAATATAATTGGTTAATGTTCAACCACTTCAGGAGGTCACATATGATCAAGAACCAATAGTATTGAAGGAAGAAGTCAAAGCTGCACTGAAGGAATCGGCAAAAACAAGGTTCCAGGAACACCCATTGAAATGTTTCAACAAATGGATGCAGCACTGGAGGTGATTACTCATTTATGTCAAAAAATTTGGAAGACAGCTTGCTGGCCAATTGATTGGAAGAGATCGATATTTGTGCCCATTTTGATCCAAGAAGATGTGGACATTATCAAATGATATCATTAATATCACATGTAAGTAAAATTTTGCTGAAGATAATTAAAAAATGGTTGCAGCAATATATTGACAGGGAACTTCCAGAAATGCAATAGAACAGGACATGGAACAAGGGATATCATTGCTGATGTCAGATGGATCTTGGCTAAAAGCAAAGAATACCAGAAAGATGTTTACTTGTGTT